CCTTACACAAGAAAGTTTTAATATTAAGAACAATAAAAAAATAAAAACAAGCAGATTTTGGAAGAATATAAAAATTAACAAAACATCCAGTTTTATTTCTCACACAGCTCAGCAGCTTTAGAAATCAAGCAAGAATTCATACACAGCAAACGTTTTTCTTCTTTATCACGTGAACGTTGTATTGCTTGGTCCTGCCAACTCCACTGGGTTTGACCATAACAAAACATCTGCATTGAAAGAAGTCTGCAAGACTGAAAAATGAGAAATACTCATTAATAAACCTACAGAAGACAACAGCAGGCATTAACAATACGTGATCCCTAGGGAAGCAGTAGTTAAGGGATAAAGCTGTCGGCAAAGACAGCTCTAAGAGAAGAAACACAACAACGTTCTATTCATCATTACTCCTCTGTTGACATTTTTTAACCTGCGTCACATTTAATAGGGATAGAAGATGGAGTTCAACTCAAATATTTGCAGTTAACGCTAAGGAAGATTTCATCTGCTAGCACATGAGGAAATTAAGATTTTTAGTATAACAGGGAAACTTTGGTAGTAATTTCTTTATGAAGCTAAAAGAATTCAGAAAGGGCTGGTTCGTAACAAAGTTCCCCCCCTAGATCTAAAGAACAGAAAGAGAGAAATCCACAAACCTCACAGACAGAGCCATCCCAACCAGCAGAAAGAGAAGCAGGCATCCTTTCAAAAGCCAGGAATCAGAACTCAAGTTCATTACGTATCCTATGGCCCACATCAGTCAAGCAAGATGCCAGCAGCAGGAACAGCTGTTAAAATGATCACTGTTAAAATCTGACAGAATATTCAAGCAGGATTTATTCCAATATATACACTTAATATAAGAACGAATGCTGAGTGACTCAAGATAGGGAACAAAGTGACACATCAAAACACAGGGGATAAGGAGGCAGGGAAAACAACAACGGGGGGGGGGCGAATGGGGGGAACAAACACCCAAAGAACAGGAAGGTGCTTCTAAAACATTTCATTTTTGAGTGTCCAGGTTTGGAAGCCTAGAAGATCCTGTTGTCAGAACGGAGGTAAGTTACAGATTATTCTGAACACGGAACGCTGAAGCTTTCCTTCCATTAGTGACATTACCTCGTATTTCTCCATCATTCTCAGTAACCTGTCATTCCTTCTGCTTCTCATTCTTCCTTCCTCCATTAACATATAAACGACAAAGCGATTCTGAGTTTGAATTGCAAGGTCAAGCGCTGTCTCTCCCTTTAACAACAAAGTTCATTTGGTTATGCACTTAACACATCAATGTCTTCCTTTGTAACAGGCACAAGAAATGAACTGAACTAAAACAAGAACTTATTGGCTTCTTCCCCAAACCCACCATTTTTCTTTAAGGCAAAGTTCTAACACGCTTCATCCGGTGCTCTGTAGTTCTAAAGACTGATAGTTGCAATCAACTGCGCGCACACGAATCACTTGCTGAACTGTCTCTCCTAAGCTGAAACACTAAACAGCCTTTCAGAACATGACAAGCTTACTGAATATGATCCCTTACTGAAAGGGAGCTTTCTTGTTTATGTTAACTTTTTAAAACCAAACAGTAACATTCTAGGAGTCATATATTCAAAAAAAAGCAAAACAACTAGCAGATGGAAAAGCCGTGCAGCTGAACACACAAACCAGAATCACTACACTATACAAGCATCTCTATGGGAATCAACAGTTTCAACGTTAATAGTTCTTCCTGCCAGATTTTACAAGTCTTAGGACTCAGACTTTCACGTGACGTGCACTTCTGAGTGTGAGCCCTTGAGGAAGGGCTCAGGATAGAGAACTGTCTGCAGAGGTCAGGGGACAAGCCGGCAAGATTTCTCAAATACGGCTGTGAAGGAGATCACAAGTTACCTTTCCAAACTGATTTTTCTAAAATGATGATTCAAGTCTCAGTACAACATTGTGGCTTTCTGAGCAGCAGTCACACGTGGCAGCTGGATAAAAAGTCTTCCACCGGCCTCTTGTAGACCAAGCATGCCCTCTAAGCCTCTGGCCTCTGTCTCCTGATACCAGCTGCTTCATTCTTACTGAGCCAACACACTTCTAACTCCATCGATTCTTCGCCAAAATCTGGCTTCGTTTGGCATTTCAGGGTGTAGCTGTACAAAGCAAAAGAGAAGGAGAATAATCGTTTAATTGTATTTCAAAACTAGCGTTTAACAATTTTGAATGAGGAGAAGCACTTCATTTGGAAGTACTCCGCTGGCGTTCACACTCACATGACTGAGAAAACAGCCCAGGACGAAGTCAGATGAGAGCTGTGCACACCGAAATCCAACAGTGGTATCTTTACAGCCGCCCGGCGCCCGAGGAAGGGCCGCTCCCGCCCGGACGAGCCCGGTACAGAGACGCCTCGGTGCAGAGATGCACGGAGCGCTACTCCGAGCTCCCCCTTTCCAGGGCCACCCGGCCTCCGCCGCGAACCGGCACCGCAGAGCCGGGCCAAAAGCGAGCGGGACGCCCACCGGCTGCACGGAGCGCGGCGCGGCGCTTCGCTTTCGAACTTCGCTGCCGGAACGCTCGCTTCCGGCCCAGAGAGAGAAGGAGCCAATCACCGCCGCGGCGGAACCGGAACTGCGGCGGTCACGCGATGCGTGACGGGAGGAAGGTGGAGATGGAAGGCAGGGCTGTGCCGCTCGGCGCCATGTTAGGTGGGTCTCCGACTCCACTGCGGCGCCGGAGAGAGACGCAGAGCTAGGAAAGCACCCTCGAGCACCCACTGCAAGGCAGCAAGAGAGCGCCCCCCCACCTGGAAGGGCCAGATCCCGTGACTCCCGTAATGTACAGGGGTAGGTACCTGGGGTTGGAGCAGTGACACTTTAATGCCCCGTACACTGCATGAAGTTTTGATGTGGAATACTGAAACCCAAAAAACAAAATACATAGAACCGTGACACCTTGGCATTAGAGAAGGGCTCTGAGCACTTTACCATTTTGTGACCACTTGGATCTCTTACCAAGCTGCCTACTTGCTGTCATTGCTGCTGCCATGGCAGGAAAACACAAGCCTGGAGTGTAGCGTCCCACCAGTCCTGCTGCAGACAAGGAGCAGGTGAGGTGCAGGAGACCAGGTCCCCATGCAGCTGAAAGGATGGAGGATGCAATACAAAGCCTTAGTGGGAGGATTTCTGGAAAGGGGCTGCAGAGGGGACACTGTCTGCAGAAACACCATCACATGAGCAGGTAGCTGGGTCAGCACTTGAAACAACACACCTGTACTGCTAAGTAAGAGTCATTACAGGCAAGACTACACACTAGCAATTACTTTCAGCTTAAGTGATATTAAAGGGAGATCCTTGATAAACAAGTAAATCTCTTAGAATTCATTTTTCTCCTTGCTATAATCCTCTGTAATTACGGGTAAAAGCCAGGTTTGCTAGATCACTAGGCATTAAAATATCCTCCGCTGCACAAATGGATAGAGGCTCAAATCTTACTTAGGAGAAGAAAACACTCAGTTTATTGTATGATTAGCAACTTGGAATCATTTGCATCTGGTTGTCAGCTGCATCTACAGCTCAGTACTGGAGCAAGCAACAAGGAAATATCTCACCATCCCTACGAGGTAGTTCAGTTTAAGGAAGCTGCTTGCGGGTTCTCCTGCCCGCTGAAACACGCGGCCACCTCCACAAAGCTCACAGGCTCCTGCAAGCAAAGTGCTCCTTGCCGGGAACAGCCAAGGCCCAAGGAACCTCATCTCCTTCTACGACTGGGTGACCAGACTGGTAGATGAGGGAAAGGCAGTTGATGTAGTCTACCTAGACTTCATCAAAGCCTTTGACACGGTCTCTCACAGTCTCCTTCTGCGGAAACTGCCTGCCCGTGGCTTGGACAGTTTTACCCTCCCTTGGATAAGGAACTGGCTGGAGGGCCGTGCTCAACGGGTGGTGGTCAATGGAGTGAAGTCTAGCTGGAGACCTGTTACAAGTGGTGTCCCCCAGGGGTCGGTACTGGGGCCCATCCTGTTTAATATCTTCCTTGATGACTTAGATGAAGGGATTGAGTGTACCCTGAGTAAGTTTGCAGGTGACACCAAGTTGGGAGGTGGTGTCGATCTGCCTGAGGGCAGGGAGGCTCTGCAGAGGGATCTAGATAAGCTGGATCGCTGGGCCGAGGTGAATGGGATGAGGTTCAACAAGGCCAAGTGTCGGGTCCTGCACTTTGGCCACAACAACCCCATGCAGCGTTACGGTCTTGGGGATGAGTGGCTGGATGAGTGTGAAGAGGAAAGGGACCTGGGGGTGTTGGTTGATGCTCGGCTGAACATGAGCCGACAGTGTGCCCAGGTGGCCAAGAGGGCCAACGGCATCCTGGCCTGCATTAGAAACAGTGTGGCCAGCAGGAGCAGGGAGGTGATCGTCCCCCTCTACTCAGCACTGGTGAGGCCGCACCTCGAGTACTGTGTTCAGTTTTGAGCCCCTCACTACAAGAAAGACATTGAGGCCCTGGAACGTGTCCAGAGAAGGGCAACGAAACTGGTGAGGGGTCTGGAGCACAAGTCTTATGAGGAGCGGCTGAGGGAGCTGGGATTGTTCAGTCTGGAGAAGAGGAGGCTCAGGGGAGACCTCATTGCACTGTACAACTTCCTGAAGGGAGGTTGTGGTGCAAAAGGGTCTGGCCTCTTCTCCCAGGCAAATAGTAGGACCCGAGGAAACGGCCAGAAGTTATACCAGAGGAGGTTTAGGTTGGATGTTAGGAGAAACTTTTTCTCTCAAAGGGTGGTCAGGCACTGGAATGGCTGCCCAGGGAGGTGGTGGAGTCGCCGTCCCTGGTAGCGTTCAAGAGGCGCCTGGGTGAGGAGCTACGAGATATGGTTTAGTGCTTGTGGTACTGATAGGAATGGGAGGGTGGTTGGACTAGATGATCTTGCAGGTCGTTTCCAACCTTGTGATTCTGTGATTCTGTAATACCTGTAGGTAGCTCGCTGGAGAGAGGCTTTGGAGGCTTTCCTCAGCCTGCTCCTTTCCTCGTACCTTGACAAAAGCAGAGTGCCAGAGAACAAGATGAGCTTACACACTTTTTTGGGGTTTGGTTGTTTTGTATTTTTTTTATTGTAATTTTTTAATTTTTTTTTTTTTGTGTGTGTGTTTTTGGTTTTTTTGTTTTTTTTTTTTTTTTTTTGTATGTGTGTGTGTGTGTGTGTGTGTGTGTGTTTTAGTCCAGTCCAGTGTAGTAAATTCTCTGTCATACAACTGATGAGTGTTCAAGGTCTTGCTGCCGATGGACCATGCTCCACTTGAACATCAAGTGGAGCAGGAGGCAGTCTTCATCCAGAAAAGTGGAATTTTGATGGGATGTTGCTGTCTTGTGGAGAGGAATCTGCGTCCCCCAGGCTCAGCCAGCAGGCGGACACAGGTTTCTGGATGGTGACCATCACTCTCTGCCACCGCTCCTGCTGCCTAGTCTCTCTTCATCATCGGTATCCAGCAGGAGATCACGAAGCTCTGGAGGCACGGTTGTATCCAGGTCATCATCAGAAACTTCTTCCACCAGATTGGAAGGGACCAGTCCTCTCGTGCCATCCGTCAGCTCTGCCAGAAACCAGCCATCCTCATCCACGTCTCCAAAGATGTAAACGTACTGTCCAGCAGTCAGGGGAAGCTCGTTTTCTGGGTCCTCATTAGGGCCCTCCAAAGGATTGTAGCTGTGACGAGCTAAGAACCTTCGAATTAGCGGTGATGTTCGTCTGTGAGAATGCAGGCTGCAGACTGCCATCAGCCGCCCTTCTGACTCCTCCAACTCTTCCTGTTGGTTGGAGCATTCCTGTTTGGGATTTCTGTGTGGCCTCTGCTTTTCCCAAATCTCCTGGAGCTGCGTGCATTTCTCCTGCAGGCAATTGCTGAGCACTTGAAGTTTGGCTGCAGCCTGCTGGAGCCTCTGCCGTTCCTGGCACACTTCTGGAGAGCGTCCCTCTCTCAGCAGGTGGTTCTCAGCCGGCAGGGCCTGGCACTGCCTCTCCAGGTTGCTTGGGGCTCGTTGCAGCAGCAGCTCGGTGCTTGTGCTGCCTGGGAGCCCCAGGTCTTCCTTGGCCATCTCTGGCACCTAGAACCAGAAAATCATAGAATAACAGAATGGTTTGGGTAGGAAGGGGCCTTCAGGACTCTCCCGTTCCAAGCCCATGCCATGGGCAGAGACATCTTCCACTAGGTCAGGTTGTCCAAAGGTGCCTCCAGCCTGGCCTGGAGCGCTGCCAGGGGTGGATGGGGCATCCACAGCTTCTCTGGGCAGCCTGTATCACTGCCTCAGCACCCTCACAGTGCTGAGTCTTTCCTCCTCCTATATCATCCAGATCTGCCCTCTTCTACTTTCAAGGCAGTGTCTTTTGTTGTATCACTACTACCCTCCCTTACTACAAGTCCCTCTCCAGCTTTCCCCAGTCCTCCTTCAGGCACTGGAAGGACCCTCTGTGGTGTTCCCAGAGCCTCTTCTGCCCCCGGGCTGAACAACCCCCACTCTCTCAGAGTCATCTCACCTGGACGTGAGTGTCCTTCACAGGCAGTTGACTGGAGCCCTGCTCTGCACGGTGGTGGCCCACCTCTCTGTCCTGGGAGCAGTTTGTTCTGTGGCTTTCCACGTGCTGGGGCTCACCCTCCCAGCTCCCCAGGATGTTTTGCTCGAACAGCCTCCTCTCCAGCTCCAGCTGATGCTGGAGTTGGCGGATACGGGCGGGCTGCTCACCGTCCATCGCCCAGGCCAGCTTGCTGAGGATGTCCGACAGCATGGCGCAGGCCTCCTTGTTGTTCTTATGGGGGCTCTTCAGCACCCCAGCCAGCAGCTGCTGCAGCTTGCGAGCCACGCGCTGGGCCGCATCGCGCTCCCGGTCCAGCAGCTCCTGCGTCGCGTGCAGCTCGGCCTCCTTCCAGCGCAGCAGCTGCTGAGTCTCTGTCGCCCGCTGCCGCTGCTCCCACTCCTTCAGCTGCTGCTCCTCCTGGGCCTGCTGCTTCTTCCAGGCCCCCCCCCTTACGCACCTCGCTCTATCGCCAGCCATGGAGCTCATTGGCCTGGGAGGACAAAGCCCAGGGAGCAGGGCAAGCTCCTTGGGACCACCCCCCATTCCATCTCCAAGGGAGCTTCCCACAGCCATCACAAAACCCACCTGCATACAAGCGACGCATGAACAAGGGGTTCCTGCTGTTCCATCGTCCACCCCACAGATTTCACAGCGCTGGAATCATTAACCAGAGGAGCCTCAGAAACCCTTCGACCCCCATTGAACTGCAAAACAGAAGGAGATCCAACAAGACGTGGAATTTAATTACGTGCCCTTAAACACCACTCAGCACGGGTGCAATTAATGTGTGGCACAGAAGACACAGAGGGGACACAGGCAGAGGACACTGGGAGGACACAAAGACACAATTGGGACGCGAGGACATAGAGGGAATGTGGAAGGGGATGCATCATAAAATGGGTTGGGACAACGTGGGAGCAGACAAACTGAGTTTGGAGGCCCAGGTTGCAGATCCCACAATGAGAATCATGAAAGAGGGAACAGAGATGTCACAAGAAGGTGTTGAAAGAGTGGCAGAGGAACTCTGCAGAACACAGAATCCCTTTACAGAACAGTGCATCAGCTCCAGGCATTTCCAGAGTCGCAACACTCAGTCACCCAACCAGGTTGGGTTTATCCATGGACGAGCAAAGTTTTTGCTGCAAAGTTCGCGTCTTTTTGCATCTCGTTGTTGGGCACGGATTGGCCACATGGGGTTATTAGATACCGTGGAAGGAAATTAGATGCTGTGTTCCCAATCGGCCACCAAACGGCACCAGAGAACGTGGAACGGACTTCGTTGCAGTTTCGCCGCTTGGCCACGCGATGGCATCAGAGACCATGGAAATTATTTCACCGACGGGCTTGAATCTGCGGTGCAGGCTGAAGAAAAACACAGAAAAGAAACTGGGGGGAAAGAAGTCGTCGAAGAAAACGAGGAAAACCTCGACAAAGCCACCAGACCTGCGCTCAGTGCTTATGAATATCTGTCAATAAATAATAATAAATAATAGCTAGAAAATTGATGTTGTCGTGCTTTCTATTCTAGTTTTTACAGCCAGCGTCTGAGATGATGAAAAACTGGGAGTCAATCAGACAGAAGCCAAGGATTTGGTTTTGGCACCGAATTTGTGAGAAACACTCCGAGTGACAACATTCCAGGTTAGGCAAGGATCTTAGCGACAAGCAGCACATTTCATTAATTAGTGCAGTAATGGGTGCACGGCCCTTGTTGGCAAGGGAGAAATTGTGTGCTGGTCAGTGAACCGTCAATGCCAATATTGAAAGCATTGCAATCAAGATCTTAAATGGGTTTGCACACGGAGCAAAAACTGCTAAGTGCCTGGAAGTTGGCTGCAAAAGATTCCAAAAGATTCTTAAGGATGTTCCAATTTGCTGGGAAGGGTTTTCCTTCCAGTGGTTGGGGTGCTGCTGCCCACATAGAGCAAGACACAAGAAATCTCAGTGTGCACATGCTGTGTACCAACGTGTGTGCGTCTGCTTTGCAGTCAGGTAGGAGCACAGCCGTATGACAGCGTGTGGCAGTAATACATCAGAAATAGTGGACATCAGTTATAGTTGGCAAAGAAATGTTAGGCTTCAGCAAAGAGCCCTGCGCAATTTCAGGGTTTTATTAGCTTTTTGTGTTGCCTCAGCAACTCAGTGTCAAAGACCCCGAGGATGGCAGATGAGTTCTAATGAGAGAGCATCCATCCGTGTTACAGATGGTGGCTGAGGACTCGCAGTTGCAGCCCCGTGGGTCCCCAGCAGTCACGGCACGGGTGGCATTTACTGCCTGGGAGCCCTTGTGAGCAAGAACACTTGAGATCAAGTTCTACGGGCTGTAACAGTGTAACTGCTGCCCCGGATGTCTTCTCATTCGGTATGAGGAACATTACAGAACTGCTCCCTGAGTTCACCTTCCTTCACACTGTCACCGCAGAAAGAGCAGTTGGGGCACTGGGCACTGCAAGTTCTCCTTCCAGCAGTCGGTCCGTGGGCTGTACATAGTGGCGCCAGCAGCCCTGCCAGGCCAGACTTCTCTTTTATTTTTCGTCTTTTTTTCCTGGAGCTCCACTGTTCCCCAACAAGCTGCAGCAGGACTGCAGAAGGCGATTTCTGGCTTTGTGCTCTTAATAGCAGCTAAATCATTCATGGTTGAGTGACCAAAAGAAAAGGTTTGCTTTTTGTTTTTCCTTTCCAAGCAGCCCAGTGCTGCTGGGGCAGTGCTGCCCAACCCACAGGCACTGCTTGCAAGTGAGCAGCGCTGCCTGGTGCTGAGTTGCACCTGGGGACAAAGCTGTCTTGAAGCAGCTGCTTGGAGATGCTGAGCGTTCTTCTGTTGGGAGCAGCTACATTCCAGGGGATTTCTACTGGACGGGAGTGCCCTCACTTACCAGTACCACTGATTGTGTTACCCATAAGCAGCCACATGTCGTGCCATCTCAGCCTTGTTATGCTGCCAACTTAGAACAGCATTTTCCCAGGAAAAGAAACACTGGTGACTTTTAGCTGCAAGATTCACTTACAATTGCATTTGTGCAGCATTGGCTGCAGAAACCTCCAGCCTGCCTGCCAGTCACTGGGCGTTTCTGTGCGATGGTAACGAAGCCACAGCACTGTGCCTCAGCAGCCTGCTGTCCTGAAGCACAGCAGGAAGGAAGCTGCACAAAATCTGAGGGCTTCTGAAAGCTTATTTTGAACAATTTCCCTATTTGTGTATCATCCGCTCTTTTAAATAATTTCTCCTTATAAAAAAAAAATCAGCATGAGAGTAATAATTTCAATGAAGAGGCTAAGCTACCTGGCAGTTTTTTAATTAGTTGCAAACTGCCAATAAAAACATGATACAAGTAACTTCCAAGTGGAAATAATGACTAGATGTAACAAATAAAAATCCAGCTCATCCCACGTATCCTGCCGACTGGAACAGGACTAAATGCAAATAAGAGCATTGATTCCCTACGCGATCAGCGTGTGGTTGGTTTCTGAGTTACGTAATTGTACTGGTGGAACAGAGGCACACTGCACACAGAGCTACATTTCATAGTAAAGATGTCTTTATTCCAAAATAACACGGTGTTAGCCGGACAGCTACGGAACATCTACACAAGACTTTGGTAAGAAATACTCATGGTAGCCTTCCTGTAATCCCACAGCAAACAGAAACGGTGAAGGAAAGCTAAAATGCAATCAAACAAAACCTTGTTTTAAACGCTATGCTGCACACACAGAGTCCTACGGTACAGTTGTTAGGCCCTAGCTTCTCTTTCGTATCACACGTGAAGCTCCTACAGTTGGTGCGTTAGAAAGGAACACCGTACACACAGCGCTAAGAGCTGACAGCTGAGCGCTACAAAAGCGGAGCGATGTCTGTGCTTTCAGTTCAGCAGTACTGTCACGAGGCCAAAGTTCTCACTTCTAGTGACTGATAGCCAGTGGCTTTACACTGCTAGAAAGTTTACAGTAACAACGCAGTTCTTGTACATATTGCTCGTCAGAGCTTTTTTTTTTGAATAGAAAATCAACCTCATTTTTTTGTTTATTTGTTTTTGTTTGTTCCTTTTTTTTTTACAAAATGTAACAAGCTTAAATATTTTTTCGTATCAAGTTAGAAGAAAGACAGGTGACTCGTGAAGTGTTCTGACAGAAGAGCAGTGCGAAGAGATGAGCTGAAGCAGGACTGGTCAGACATTTCTGCCCAAATGCAACCCACGTTGTCACTGCACGGATTAGCGAGGTGGGAAAAAAAATCCTACAATGGTAAGTTTAATGAGCCTAAGAGAAATGACTGGGAATCACACTGAGGAGCTCCTCACTAGAAGACAGTTCTGTCTGTGAAGCATCCAATCAGCAAGAACCGCAGGGAAAGGAAAGCCGGACCGGTTCATGTCGTGTGGGCATGTTGGTAAGCGCGCTCAGAAGAACGCTGCGCATTTCCTACGTGCCTGAAGGTACATCTGGACTGCACAGCCCTTGGCAAAGGGAATCAGTAACAGATAAAACAGCTTGATGAACCAGAAAAACTATGAAAATAAAGACACCATTAATTTTAATGGATTATTTGCAGAAGCTGGCACGGTTCTGCAGGATTAGCATGGACGGCTGGTCAGGATGCATGAGAAAAAATGTGCTCTGTAAAATCACATCATTTTTTTCCATTCAAGAGATGCTCTTCTTCTGTCCCCCCAGCCCCGGCTCCCCCAGCTCCACGCACACCACCACTGCCACGGCTCGTACCGCCGAAGGGCCGCTTTGCTGCCGACCCACCTCAGCTGCTGGCCTCTCGGCTCACAGCAGCAGCTCGCAGAAGTGCTGAATGCTCTGGTCTGCAGCCCTGCCCGGCTGGGCACCTGGCCCTTCTCTACAACCAGCTGTTCTCGACCTGACACGTGCTCGACTGGTCACTGTTTGATAGTCTTTATCATTGCATGGAATTTTGTTTTGTGGTCGTTAACTGGATAACTGTAAGGTAAGGTGACAACTATATTGCTCAGGGACGCTCTTCATGCTACAGTGTAATGATAGCGCTATAGGGATAGAATTTGGCAATAGGCACGAGGAGGCAAACTAGCTTGATAACTATTATTAAAATGAGCCCAGCTGTACAAAATGTGAAGTGTTTGGTTTTAGCATGAAACGGCTTTTTTGTTTTTCTTCCGGTTTGGCTCACTAAGCGCTCGCACCCACTTCATTCAGCAGCATCGCAAGAGGCCAAGCACTGCCCTTGT